GTGTGTGTTTGAATCTACTCAGGTCAACAACCTGAACTGGCACCTGGGCTGTCTGGAGTGTTCAGTGTGCAGAGCGTCTCTGCGCCAACACAGCAGCTGCTACGTTAAAAACAAAGAAATCTACTGCAAGCTCGATTATTTCAGGTAAGAGCTCTGATGTTTTACAACGACTGTAGTTTTCCAAAGCTGCCTGTAAGAGTCTTATAAGATTTACTTAACATTTTAATATTTTTCTTAATATTTTCTTACTATTTTTTCTTAGAGCTTTGTCGACTGTTAAAAAAAATAAAAACTCCGATATGTAATTTGATAACAGTCACAGCACTGAAATGTGTTTATTTTTCTATAAGGCCCGAACTGAAACTTATTAATCATCAGTTATCGTTTATATGGGATTTATATTAAATTTGGCAATTATTGAAGAATGATGTATGATAATAAAATAAAATTTTGTGAGGTCGCTTTTTTGCCTGGTCGATGAAAATCATTCAGAAAAATTAATACGACGATTTAACTGAGAATATCCAAAAACGTGTATTATTAATGAACAACACGGGGCAATATTTCCTCTTTACGGAAAAGAATACACAAATGAAAAATGTTTATTTCACTAAAAGCATAATGCTGATACAGATTATTTATCTTGCCATTTTTAACAGTACCCGCCTGTCTTATCATATCAATAGAAATCTACACAGCCAGACTCGTTGGGCATCTACATATCTTCAATTATTTGGGGAAAAAATACAAAAAATAATCTTTTAAAATGCGGAAAGGCTGGAAAGTTTTCCCTAAATGTTTTACATTTAATCTTTCATTTAATAGAGTACAAAAAACTTGCCATAAAACATTATTGTGCTTATGTGATAAATTATTGCACCTAAATTAAATTAAGGTCTAGCTGTTTTTACAGCTCATTGATCTTTGCTCTCCAAGTTGATCTTTTGGTCTCACTATGATTTGGCTTCAAAGTCATAATTGGAAAAAAAAAAACAAAAAACCCCAGAATAAATTACCAGTAAAACAATGTTTTTAAAATAACTTCTTGTGTTTCTATCTGCTTACTCTCATGAAACCTAATGACCAAAAGCCTCCAGAGGAAAGAGCTTGATTACCAGCCGGCTGCCCTAAATGTCCCTTTCCATTTCAGTTAGTTTTGGCCTTTTGACTATTTGAAAATTTGATAGAAAACTGGCAAAATGTGCAAAATCAACAGTTTTACTGGCTAATTTTGTGGTTCTTTCTAATGGAAGCAGTGGCTATTACTTTAATTTGAACTTCTTTCTATTGACTTTTTTAAAAATTCAATCATCTTGAGATGTAGCAGTCCGTTGCCACTGCCTGCTCTCCCACATTCTCTTACCCAGCATCTCACACAAATCACTCAAAGATAAAGAGGACACTTATTATCTTACACTCACTTATTCTTCAGTCCAGTTACTATAAACCGTGTGACTCACAGAAATCTCTGCGTAGGACATTTAGTTTCCAGTAGTGGGAGGAATGCCTCCACCTTTCACTTTTCACGGTTCCAGTTTTCCAAAATCTCACTGGCTTTTCTTTCTGCACCAGAAATGTTCATACACTCAGTGAGATCATGTTGAATCACTGTTTTTGTCCCAGATTGTACCTTTCAGGCTAAATGCAGACTGTATTTGGTGGAGAAGCAATTTGTATTGTGTGTGCAATGTTTAATTACCCCAAACAGCGATGTTGGATCATGCTAAGATAAGTCATGTTCAAAACCTAAAGCTTTATTGAGAGCAGATGATGCAAGATCATATCAGTAATACAACTCCTCTGCACAGATGTTACACAAAACAGTAAAACTAATTATTTCATATTTTGCTGTTCTATTTAGTCCAACAGTTTTTTTAGTCTTTCTGTGTGTTAAAAAATTTAACAAATATATAATAGTTTGGTTGGACACCAGAATATCCCTTCTTGAACTCTGTAACCTGCAGCCAGCCTTCACCTGCTCGTGCCTTTCTTCTTCACAGTAGGTTCGGCACTAAGTGCGCCCAGTGTGGCCGACAGGTGTACGCCAGTGACTGGGTGCGAAGGGCTCGGGGCAGCGTGTACCACCTGGCCTGTTTCGCCTGTTTCTCCTGCAAGAGGCAGCTGTCGACCGGGGAGGAGTTCGGCCTGGTGGAGGGCAGGGTGCTCTGCCGCAGCCACTACGACATCATGCTGGACAATCTACGCAGAGCTGCAGAGAACGGTAACCCAACCAGTGAGAGTTAATCTCACAGACACCGAAGATGAATGTCTGAGGTTGGATTACCAGCTAAAAACTCTGGGGGGAAAGTACCTGTTAGTATTTAGGCACACTAGAAATGCAGATGTTTGATGACTGATGAATGGCAAAACTTTAATCATACACGATGTCCACGTGTGCAATTCTGAGGGATTTGTTTTTTGTTAATGAAACATTTTTGTGGTTTTTGACTGTTGGTCAAACACAACAACATATAAGAAGATTTTTATTCGTTCTGCACGGCTTAATGATGGACCTTTTCTGACTTTTTGTAAACTAAACAATCTGTAATTAGAGAGAAAAATCAGTCTTACTGATAGTTAGTCGTCAACGATCCGTTTGTGGAATAAGATCACACAGGTCTTTTGGAGTGTTAATGGGTCCAAACATCGTTAAGAATCGGGCTGCAAGACTGGAGAACCAACATAGCTGACACGCTGGTTCAGTGGTTCCGATTTCGAACATATTTGTCATTAATTAAATAATTTGGAGTAAACCGAGTGGGCTTTTGAGGCCCCTGTGCAGTTATGACTTCACTTGTTTTGTAACCCAGCCTTGGTTTAAGCCTCAGTAACAGAAGGAGTAGTTCAAGCTCTAAAGCTCTTCTACTTCAGTTGCTCTCAAGCTATTCAGCCCCTTTTAACAGTGATATAATGCAAATAATCAGTTGGAAGGAACGTTTTTCTTGATGTTTTTGGATTTTGGATGCACCATTTTAACTGGTGTAAAGTTTCCGAATTGCTTTTGCTTTACTTTGACTATCTAAATTCCCTCCTGTTAATTTGTTGGACTAAAATTAAGTTGCGAGGGTCTGAAAACAGAGCGAGTGTAGAGGTTAAGAGAGCCTGGAAAAAAGGAAGAGACTTTACATGAAAGACAAATAGAGGAATAATTCCTTCATTTCTCACTCTGCTGTGCTCTCAGTGATTCAAACGTATCCCATAGTGGTGTAAATACTTTGGATAGTGCGGCTGCTGGCAAGAAAACATTTTAATTATGTTACTGAGTAAATCTTCCATTTTGTGACACTGTAATAAGATTTTCTTTTCCTTTAACTCGCTTTGTGTAACTTTGCACTCTGATGACTGCATTTTAATTAGTGAATGATTACTGTGTCTATCTTAAGGCACAGGACTGACTCTGGAAGGAGCGCTACCTTCTGATCAGGACTGCCAACCAAAACCAGCCAAGAGGGCACGGACATCATTCACTGCAGAGCAGCTGCAGGTTAGCACCATTCTAATACGTGTGTGTCTACAGCACAGTGTTACTTGGCATTTCATGCCCTCTGTGTCTGGCTTTGTGTGTTTGCAGGTGATGCAGACTCAGTTTGCCCAGGACAACAACCCCGATGCTCAGACGCTGCAGAAACTGGCAGAAATGACGGGACTGAGCAGGCGAGTCATACAGGTAGGCAATGGTCAAATCTGGTGATACACTATATAGTTCAAGTTCTACTTTATATCAAACTAAAAAAAAAAGTTTTCGTGTAATATTAGCATGATCAGAAGGATGGTTTTTCTTTTTCAGGCTCCTGGAAACTGGTTATTAATCACACTTAATAACACAAAGTTGTGATTGTAACTTGATCTTTTGGGATCATAAGTTAAAGAAACTGAGGAATCAGGGTATAATATTATCTGTTTAGTATCCAGAGTTTTAAAAGGGTGATCCCATTACTCTTACATTAAAACTTCACATGCTAACAGACTCATACCTCGCAATGCTTTTCTTGCAATTTGCTCTGATGATGCTTTGTCTTATTATGATTTAATTTTCATCCAAACGTTTTTGATTTTAAGGGTTTCCAAAAGAAAAAGCAGACATCTTTGAGAAAGCTTTCCTTTCTTTTCACTGCTAGTGCTTTAAAAACATGACCCCTCTGGGAATGATTCCATTTCAACTCTAAGACCAATAAAACACAATTACAATTGTTGTACTTCACAGAGAAGCCAGTTTAAACACTAACACCATTAAGCTGCAGACTAAAACACTCACACATCAAACTGGAGTTATCACCTGGCTTAGGTGAAGAAACTAATGGGGTGCGGTGAGGGGAATCTGAACCCGGGACCTGCTCGGCGTTGTTGTAGTGTTTGATCATATCCACCTGCTTTTTGCACGATCACATTATCAGTAATATTTTTTACAGGTTTGGTTTCAGAACTGCCGGGCGCGACACAAAAAGCAGCCGCCTCAGAGCAGCTTCTCTCAAAGCGCTCCGCTGTCCAGGATGCCCCCGTCGCTGCCAGAAGATATCCACTATTCACCGTTCAGCAGCCCAGACCGACCACACCTGCTGGCCCTGCATGGCTACCTGGACAGTGAGTGTCAAGTCTTTAATCGTCTGCTAGTGCCATTTAATGCAGGGCCCTTTTTTCCACTGCTGGCAGGTGAACGTTCAGCTTTCAATGCTTAAATGTGACATTTTACCTCAATCTCTCTCTCTTATATCATAAACTATGCACAGGTGGAAGCCAATTTACTCAAGTCCAGCGCTTAAGTAGGAACTTGAAGCATGTAAGGAGGCTACTTCGTGCTTCCTTTAAGGAAGGAAAGTCATGAAAGATGTAATTATTTTACATGTGAAACAGATTGTGCATTAAAAATAGCAGTTTGCAGTGTTAAACCACCAGTAGTAGTTTAACAGTGATTATCATTAAATTATGTTGCATAGAGGAAGCTGTGTCATGTTATGGATCGATAATATTTGTGTCTCATTAAGTTCAGTTAACACTATTTTTAATGCAGGACTTAATTTGAACTATTACTTATTAGTGATTAGCGCAGTGATTAGTGCAGTGGATTGTTAAATGTGTCCATGTTTGATAAATAATAAGAATAAAAAGAAGAATATTTCTAGTGGTTTACGCAATCACCCACACACAAACAATTCCTGGTCTGAGACCTGGAGGAGACACAAATCACTCTGGGATCGTGCCAAATGAAATATGGGGAGCCATCCACTCTGGTGACCTCTTGTGAATAATGGCAAATTTCATGTTTGCAATATGAGTATTTACATGAGAGATAAACGGTGCTTTATTCTGGGGTGGAAGCTGAAAATTTCATAGAGTGTTGAAGCTCTAAGGGAAGCTTTAAAGTAATATGATGGAAACATTTGACTGCTAACATGGAAATTTGAAGGACTGTGAAGGAGGGATCCCCTGTCTGTTTCGTTTGTTTTTTCTCATCAGAATTTTGGTTTGATTTCTGGCAACAAAACAGAAAAATGTATTCATCAGACTTTCAGTCATTGCTGGTAAATTCCACTTGTGTTCATGGTACTTAAATGTTCACTGGAATCGCTTTGCACACAAGTTTTAAACTAGCTGAGCAAAAAACAAAACAAAACAAAACAAAAACAACTTTCTGTTCAAGCACCATGAAATAATATGTGGCTTAGAATATTGTTTAAACATTTGTACTAGAAAATAAGTTAAAAGAGAAAACTGTGCTAGTTTTTTAGCATTGTAAAGTAAAGAAAGTTTTTAGCCTGCACATCTTTGTGGTCACAAAGATTACTACATAAAAAATAACAAGGAGCCTAATTTCTTTCGTGTTCAACTGATTTTTAATATGTATTACTCTATTTGTGCACTGAACTTAAAGTGAATGTTAAAAAAACACTAGCTATAAATATTTGCACCCAAAACAGCTTCGCATTTTAAAACAATGACAGACTTAAATGTTTGTTTTGAGTAAAAATTAAAAAAAAATCTTTCTGATTTTGAAATTTCTTTATATTTGCATATGTAAAATAGAAAACAATAGCAATAATAAAGAAATAAAGTTTAGAAATAATAACATTTAGGAATGGTGATGTAAAAACTGGATGCCAAAACTCAAGTCTAGAAACATGTTGTTTACAAAAGTGTAGGTTGGGAGAAGAAAGCTATAAATAACTAATCACTCCTGGGAGGATTTTACAGTTTAAACATCCACCCACCTCATCTCCACCCAGTCCAGGTTCTTCAGACTGACCACAGGACAAATTTGCTGGTGGGTGGAAGTTATTTGTGAACAGCTTGTGCAGAACGTTGCTGGTGACAATACCAGCAACATTCACTGTACACTATGTAGGTATCAGCAAGTATTTCATAGGTACAGATTACATCTAGTGAAGTTACACTTTTATAAAAATGCTGTAATAGTACAAGGTGTGCTTTATAGGTTTTAACACCCTATATGGGAATATTTTGTGATTTTGAAATATTCACATTCACTCTGAGCCTTCTTCTCTGTGGTTTATCTCATTATTTTGATGCTTTAAGTATTTATGTTAGTCATCAGTAGCATATTTCTTCATCTTAATTATAATAACGTGGTCCTGTTGCTTGCCAAGCTCATGTTGTTTCTCTTTCTTTGTGCAGCTCATCCCTTCTCTGTCCTCGCTGCTCCGGGCCACTTGACCCACCCGTCCATCTCTTTACCACAGCTTCCCATCAGCCGCTGACTTGCTGTGTCTACTTTTCCACCGTCGACACTCTGATGATGTTGTGGAGGGAAAAAAATCCTTTGGGACGCCCTGTCAGCAATTTGCTCCGTTTGGAAGTCAAGTCCTCGGGTGACGGCAGGACCGCGTTTTTTAATCAGTCGGGTTTTTCATTGTGAGACTGCTGAGTAAACTGTGGTGAAGCCTTCAGGCTAACACAGGAGTAACTTTTTAATTTTGTCTTGTTTTTTTTTTTTATATAATGCAGAAGACCACTTTTATTTTATTTTCCTTTTTTTTCCACGGGACATGAAACATTGCATCAAGTTGGAAATGGTTTTCACTTTCAAACAAGATATTTTAATTGCTCCAACATGAGCTTAAAGAAAAGAAGAAAAGAGGAGTGGTTGTAGCAGTGTTACAGTAAAACCTCAGCATTTTTCTTTTTTACATTTTGTACTGGTGATGAGCACATTTGCAGCTTTATTGTTGTTTGTTGTTGTATTGTTGTCAGAAAATGGAAACTCTTATTTATTCAGAGCAAAACTTCACTTTTAAAAACGCACTTTTGAATGTGTCTTGAAATGGAAAAATTCAGTTACTGTACATTGTAAATACGGTCATGGTTTAATAAAATGTATCAGATCCCTTATGAAGGTTTTAGTGTTTGAATAATAGACAATCAGGCTGACTTGAAGAGCAAGGAGTAAAGTGTTTATACGTGTGTGTGTGTGTGTGTGTGTGTGTGTGTGTGTGTGTGTGTGTGTGTGTGTGTGTGGTTGAAAATGCAACAGCTTCTCGAAGATGGAGTAGAAAAATGTGATATTGTATGAGGACACTATTTTTACACTCAAAACCACTAAATCTAAAGGTCACCTGTCAGAGGCTAAGTACCTAAAGTAACCTGTTATTAAGAGCAATATCCCACGACAAACCTGCACATCATCTCCAATTTACATGCTGTACTTTACAGGAATTGTGATCAATCCCACTGCGAAAACGATTATAACCGTTTTCACTCAAAGCGTGGCCATCGATTGGGCAGTTTGTCGGCTTTTATGAGCTCTTCTAGCACAGATTATCTACAGCTGTTATACTGATTGACAGCACTTAAGGTGCCGTGATTGGCAAAGAGTGAATGGGATACTTCGAGCTAAAGCATATCGTTACATGTGTATTTTTCGAAACCGGATCAATGTGGGGGCTTTTTAACAGCAAATTCAAGAGTGCGGCACCTGTGCAATTTCACGTTCCTGCTAAGGAAGACCCCTGTCAGGTTCTGTAGAGTTTAGCAAACCACATAAGAGATCACATGTGTGACCATGTGACCAGTATACAGTTAAAAAGAATAGGGTGCGTATTGATTTACTCGAGATTTTTTTATTATATTAAACCAGTTTTCTGATGTGGTTTATAGATACAGATATATTTAGGATGGCATTAGCACGTTTTCAGATAAGTAGCAAGTTTTGAAGACCTACAGAAATTGAGCTAGCTGTTTACAACCAAAGTGAAAAGCTATTTTCTGTGCATAAAGAATGATCCATTTAAAGGACAAATGCACAGTAAATAACTGTTTATTTTGATTCCTAGTTTGCATTTTATCTCATGAAATGAAATAGCTATTTGCACAAAAATCCAGAAACACCGGGATCAGTGAACTGACATACTTTCCATTGACGGTAGTCTTCCTCCTGTTGCTTGTAAAAAAGAAGCAGGAAAGTCCATTTGAGCCCCTGCTGCCTTTAAGCAGACAGCAGATAAACACACACACAATGGTTCATTTATACTCCTCAGAGATTTAATTAAAGAACTCCATATGTTGGCTGGGCCAGGTGTGTTTGAGTGTCTATTTAGGTTGATTTTAATGTATATATGAGTGCTGTATTATCTCAGCGCTCTTGTTCTTTCCTAAACTTTGCGCTTAAATCAAACTTTCCTCTAATCAATCGCTTCCAATCAATTCAATCCAGAAGGAAACCTTTTCACTGACACGACGCTGCTCCTTGTGAAATCTCAGAACAAAAGCTGTCTTCATGCTGAGCAGAGATGATTATCAGGCTGACACAGCTTGGGCCACCTGCCAGCACTACACTGTAAAAACGCACATTTCTTCCCCTCTCAGACGCAAACGCTTAAGGCAGCGTTTAGGCATGTCTCTCTCCATGCCAAGCATCCCCGAACGCTAAAGTCGACCCATTTTTGTCATGCTGTCATGCGTCCGCCTCTGTGATTGGCAGCCTCAAGTGGTTGCAGATGAAAGCGGGCCCCCCATGCTAATGAATAGGCCCCTGATTGCAGAGCTGCTCGCTCGCTGAATTACAGCGTCGGCCGCCTAATGAGCAGATACACTGCAGTGCCCCTCGTCTCCACGTATTCACATTTCTCTCCTTCACGCTGATGAGCGCTCCCCTGCGCAACAGTCAACAAAACCTCTGTGGAAGATTGCAACATGAGCCATCTTCATCAGCACCCTCCTCCTCCTCTAGTTTTTTTTTTATCAGACTGCCATATGCTGGCAGGGTCTTTTTTTGTGTGTGTTATTTTTCCTGCTTCACTAGATTATATTATTTGATTGCACTGAAGATGTTATACAAAGTAACTGAAAGGCTGATGAACATGATAATAGCTCAGTTCAGTTTAAATAAAGAAGCTAGATGTTTTGTGTTTTTTCTTACTTCAGTGGTCTACAGTCAAATGCATTACAAATAAATGTAGTCAAACTTTGCTAATTTTACAAGAAACTAAAAATGATGCTTAAAATTGTTGGTTGGCTCTGGTTTCATGACATGCACCTAAGTCAGTGAGTCAGTTCTTAATTGAAACCAGAAAAAACTCAAATACATTTTGACCACTGAAATTTGGCCAAAAAATTGCCAGCATAAGTCAAGGTAATTTTCATTTAATCATTCTTCCTTAACTATTTATTCAATTTCAATAAAACTCTATGAAGTATAAAACTGCATTTTCAAATTTCAACATTTATCTCTACTTTTGACCTTTTGACCTCCTCTTTGACCCTGGATCTGACTGGGAAGTTCCATGGTTTTTTTTTAAGCATAAATATCCCACTTTTAATAGTTCTCATTGAATGTACAAAACCTGAACCAATGAAATTGTACACTTACTGGCCACTTCATTAGGTACAGTAGTAGTACCTAATACCACAGTAATATGTCTCTTTTAGTGCTGTTCAACCGTTCGCTACAGCAAATATGACCTGCTGAAGTTCAAACTGAACATCAGAATGGGGATCAAAGGTTATTTATTTAATTTGGACGTGGGATGGTTGTTTATGCAAGGTGGGCAGGTCTGAGCATTTCAGAGTGTGCTGATTAACTGGGATTTTCCTGCACACCCATCTCTAGGTTTTGCAAATAATGGTCTGAAAAAGAGAAAATATCCCATGAGTAGAAGTTCTTTGGGGGAAAATTATGCCAGAGGAGAGAGTGGGAAGGCCTGGCTGCTTTAAACTGATAGGAAGGCACAGTAACTCAAATAACCACTGGTCACATGCACGGTATGCAGAAGTGCATAAACAACACATCAAACCCTGAGGCAGATGGGCTGCAGCAGCAAAAAAAAAAAAAAAAAACATACCTAGATCCACTCTTGTCTGCCAAGTACAGAAAACTGAGGGTGCAATATAGTTGCATCAAAACTGAACAATACAAGAAAATCATTGCCTGATCAAATCAGTCTCACTTTCTGCAGTGACATCGTAAGGTCAGTTTTGGCATAAACAATATGAAAGCACGGTATCAGTGGTTCAGGATGCTGGTGGTTTTTCATGCCACACTTTAGGTCTTTTAGTATCAACTAAGCTTGTTTAAATGATTTCCTGACCACGCCTATACCTTTGTAATTAGTGTACCCACTTCTGATGGCTGCTTCCAGCAGGATAACGCATCATATCACAAAGCCCAAATCATCTAAAACTGGTTTCTCATGTCACTGAGTTAATTGTGCTCAACCACCAGAGTCAAACTCAATCGAGTAGAGCACCTTTGGTATGTGGTGGAATGGGAAATTCATATACACCCAACCAAATGCAGCAGCTGTGTGAGGAATCTTTCCAGCACTCTCTTGAATCTGTGGCATGAAGAACTAATGCAGTTGAAGGGAACAGGGGGTCCAACATTGTACTAGTAAAGTGTCCCTAATGAAGTTCCCGCTGAGTAAACCAATACTTGGTTGTGGAGACATCCGTGTGCATACATGAAACAGAGTGATGAAACTAACACATCTATTCAGTAATGTTCTGGGTAAAACTGAAACTGACATTTCTCCATGTCAGAGCATCCAAACTTGACAAAACCTCTTGATGTAGCCTGGCAGATCAGGCTCTAAACAAATTCAGTACAGTTTTGTTCAGCTGTCTTTTGATTTACTGCTATTTGCTAAGCCTTGTGTATCAGTTTGTAAAAACATGGAAGAAAAATGTACCCAAAGGTTTATTAGGGTCTTCTTTGCTTCTTTGAACCCTTGTCCTTAGTTACACATAAATGCAGATTCTCTGCTTAAGTTGTTCAGTCATGTATCCCTAATATCTTTATTAATGTTTTTTTTCTGTTCTTCGTGTACTTAGTCATGTAATTATTAACTCAATCCCAGAAGAAGGACATTTTTTCCAGTCATAGTTACTATGAGCAAGGAGTGTTTTTTTCTGATGTCCCTTATTCTGGAAGACAATTATTTTTTCCCACAGAAAGTCTTCTGTGACTCACAGTTGATGTCTATCTACAGCTTGGAGCAGCACGAGACTCTCCCAGTTAAAACATCAGCTAAGCATATTAAAAGATCATTCTGGTGTATTTCAATCAGATGTATTTCCCATTAAGGCTGCTACTTTGGCTCTAAAAGTAATTCTAACTTTGCTTCTCCTTCTCCACCATTCAGATCAGGGGTACTGAGGAGCTGCAAGACAGGGCATCACAGCTTTGAGCTTTCATTATGTTCTTGATTCTTACATGAAGCATTTTTAAAACCTTTGTTTTTAATTTTGACTCAGTATAAGTTAAATTCCTTACTTGCAAACATCTTACAAGACTCTTGACTATGCTGACATAATAAAATCAGACTGTATCAACTGCGAATTTAATGTAAATGATGATTCCCAGTGTTCACATCTTACATGATAGGAATCTCCAGGTCCACCACGTCCCAAAGGTGACCAGATTGAGATGTGCTGGAAGGAAACATAAGAAGACAGATACACTGTGGTCATAAAGAGCTGGACATAACAGCAACAACACTCAACTAGGCTGGACAGTTTAATTAAATGATGCTCAATAGGTACCAAGAGGTTCAAAAAGTTCCAAGTAAATACCCCCTCCACGAATGCTTCCACATCCCTCACATGCTTTCATTTTGTTAACGCTGAGCGACTATCTGGATGTTACAGCAAACGTAAGACTCTCCAGAACATGTGTTTTTCCAATCGTCTATTGTCCAATTTTGTTAAGCCCCAGTGAATAGCTTCAGTTTCCTGTTATTAGCTGACAAGAGTGGCACATACTGTGGTTTTCTGCTGCTGCAGCCGATCTGCTTCAAGGTTTGTTTGGAGATGCTGTTCTTCATGTCTCTTTTGTAACAAGTGGTTATTCAATTTAATGTTTCCTTCTACAACTGGAAGATTGACTGGTGATTGAC